CATTACTGCATTAAATCGAACAACAGCGTCCATCCGTTTGCATACTTGAGGTCTGTGTATCTCATGATACCCTAAATTATGTGAGAAGATGTTTTAATTTTCGATTATTAGTCTCCACTGCCCGCATCGTTCCCTTGGAATTTTATATGTCACGTCAGAATGTTATGGCGCTGTCTCCTTCCGCGGTTCAAACCGGGTAGCGACTCAGCTGCTGACTGGAACATTTTCAGTAGCCTTCGCCGCGTTTCTACATCCAGTCTTCAGACTGCATGAAGCTCGTTCTGATCCCTGACTTTTGCAGTCTGCCACAGTTCCAGAATAATCTGCACTGCCGTTAGTAGTCCCGGCGACGATGGAACCGGTTCAAAATTTCGAGGTATAACCAATCGATCATAAGTACCATGAGGGACAGGTACCTAAGATTTACCGGAGATTTCACCACAATCTCCAACCTGCCGCTTTTCTCTCCATTCTCATCCAATCTTCGTATCAAGTCTATTTCTCTAGAAAATGGTCTTAACAAATATAGTGTATCATATTGTCTGCCTTCTAAATAGATCCTGATAGCGAGGATGATTGAAATTCTGCGATTGAGTGCAAATATGTCACGTACTTATTTTTTAATAAAGTTGTTAGCAATTATTAGTGCACAACTCAAAAAGTCGGTTCGAATTTTTGTCGGAAGCTCTACGTTTTGCGAGTTTTCTCACAAACTGAAAATTCGATCCGCAATTGTACAGCAAAGCTTTACGACTGAAGACACGTGGAATGACATGGCGGTCGTGCAGTTCAAGAATGAAGGATATCTGAAGGAACTCATCCAGGATGGCGTAGACGTTCAAGGAGTCTTAATCCCTGATGGCCTACAGCAGTTGCAGCCGGCATTCCAGTTTAAGATGCTTGCAGTAGATAGAAGTCTGTCCACTTATCTTGTCGTTTGCTGTGATGTTGCTGGTGGCGTATTTCAGAGTGCATGAAAGTAATGAAATGCCTGAATCTCGAAATTGTTCGCAGATCAGACTGTCTGGAAAGATATCCGAGTTTCAACGAAGGATTCCAAATTTGCGCTAAGCTCAATTCCCGGAATGCCTGTAACATAGAGGTAAGGCTGTATTTTATCAAGGCGAAATAACGGGGAAATTCAATTGGACTAGTGACCCATAAATTGTATCTTCAACTATGACATGACTTTCGGGAATGCTGACTAGTACCAGAATGATCGTGATTCTGATCTCTTGATCCTCTGAATTATCCTCCTAACGATTAAAAGACTGCAACTGCCATGGTTTGGAGCGATTGCAACTGCTATGTCCTCGGTTAATGCTCAGAATGCTAGAAACCAGATTCCCAATAGAGTTTGTTTAGACGGCACCGCACACTTTAAACCAGATAGTAAGGTTATGTTGGACTTGCGTATTGTGACACCTTCAAACTCAATCCGTTGGGTTTCACTAAATAACACAAAAGTGAGAATTGTTTAGTGAGAATAACATTGGAGAAACGTATGGAAAAAGTTCTACCGTACTCGAAACATAACACTGTATATTGAAAATGAATGATGGATCAATGAAAGACACAGAAATCTAGAAATAAACAAATAAGTTGCTAGATCTTCGACTGTGAACTGATATTTGGTACATTTCCAACTCAGGACATACCACTGAGCTGAAACTGTCCACGTATCTGCCCTGACATGTGGTAAGATGTCCGGCCGTTAGGGAAATAGAGCTCAGGTAAATGAAAGTTTCGAGATGCTGTTACAAATAACCGCGATAAATCTCAATGGTTTGCCGTTACGTCAGCAATAATTGTCTACTTATCATAGTCGGACTATAAAACGGTTAAGATCTTGGCATATCATTTCAGGGGATGGTAGCTGGTTCGATATGATATAATCACAAAGTTGCATACCAAAATACAGGAGAAGTTCACTTCTTAAAATTGATGAGAAACGTAGCTGATCACGTCATGGCGTGAAGCAGTTCATCCCGTCCGCATGCCACCGTTATATAAAACACGTTCAGCAGATGGTTCTTGAATTTAACAACACTGAACTGTTAAACATTTATTATCAGTGGAAGTTAAACAGTTCCTCGCAGAGGACAGAGCACTGAAAATCTTGATGATGCGTCTTAAAATCACCTTAGGCAGTTGCCTAAAAATTTTGCAGTCTGTTATTCGCTATGGCGATTCAACAACTGGCTTATAAATATTTCTTGAGGTAGCATGAACAAGGGTACTTAATAAAGTGGCTCAAAGTCCTTTCTTATTAGTTTCTGAGATACACCGTTAGCCTTATTCGATTCAGTAAGATACGAGCGACTGTTCACAAGATCTGCGCAACGGATTGGTTGAAACAATTGACAACATAGTAAATACCTATTATAGAGATGATGGAGAACGCTGAGAATCAGCTTTGAGCTTTTGATATACAGTCATTGATTAGCGGGCAGGGACAGGTCTTGGGTGAGATGACAACAGCGTTCGGAACTTATGCCGCGGTCCTATTTTCTGCAATTCTTTCAGGATGTTTTCGACCTTGGCAAACGACTATGACTTTCAAACTAGCAGTAAAGATCCGGTGCATATTTTACTACAATAACGTGAGTACTGCAATGACGACAGGCATAAGTAAGTGAGCATTACAATGTACAACTCTTTC